TACTTAAGCGCTCCTACTTTGGTAATAGATAACGTCTCTACAGTCCACGAAGGGCAGAATAATTTATCATCTGATTATTTTTTATCAGAGGCTTACCCTCTTTTCTCTCCCTCTTAATATAAAAAAAAATCAGGTTCTTATATATAATTTTAACTTTTTTATCACCCCTCTCTCCTAAAAAATCATATGATTTTTGTCATGTTTCTAAGAATTCAGATAGCTAATCCTACTGACTAACTATTAAGTACTTTATGTCTATTCAAATAAAAATTCTATCAATCTGTCTCATTATTACAGTAGAATTCAAGCAAAGCCAAAATTTTATGCTAGAGTATGACCCAAGAGCGACCTGCCTAAGTAATAATTTTCTTTTTTCTAGAATCCTCAACTTACTGAGGATATGAGCCCCAGCTATCAACAGATAGTTTTACCAACCTTGTCAGAATTACTGCTCTACAATAGAGTACCGCAAATCTGATAATACTTTCTTGTAGAGAAGTAAAAAAGAAAAAAAAGAGATATGAGGAAAACGAAAAAGAGGTAAAGTATAAATAAACGTATAAAGAAAATAACCAAATTATAAAAGAATTTAAATATTATACTAAAATCTATGAGGACCTATTTTTAGATATAAAACCTGCTAGCTAGGTGAAAACTATCTACATAGTTATAGAAATCTATACATAGAGCTATTTGACAAAAAGAAAAAGAACTATGCACTAAGATGTACTTTAACCTATACTAAGAGCTAAAAATTATATCATATAATTTCGGAATAAGCAATTTCTATATTATTGCTCTAGTTTACTTTACAGAAACTAGCTAAAAATTTTCAATAGATTTAAGATGATCTTTACGATATTGATTCCATAAATTCATGCTCATAAAATTATTTTACTATAAAAAAAATATATATAAATTTTATAATGATAATAAGCTTATTTTTTAATAATTATATTATAATCTTATTTTTCACTAATTTTAAAAAAAAGGAAAAATAAAAAAATATATACTTTTCTAATATAATTTTATATGCTGAACAAGTTTACTTAGAGTACCAAATACTATTTATTAGTAAAATTTTGAATTATAGTGACTTTTTTATAATTTTACTAGTAAAATAAGTAAAAATACTAAATTATTTAAATTTTACTAATAAATAGTATCTTAATACTTTAAGTAAACTTGTTCAGCACATAAAAATATATTAGAACAGTATATAATTATTTATATTTATAAATTAAATTAAGTAATAATCTTAAATTTATGTTTTTAATAAAATTATACTATTTTAATAAATTTTACTAAATTGGTTTTATAATTATAAATAATTATATACTGTTCTAATGTAATTTTATGTGCTGAAAAAGTTTACTTAGAGCATTAAGATACTATATATTAATAAAATTTTGAGTTATAATAACTTAACTATAATTTTACTAGTAAAATAAATAAAAAGGGTGCTTTTAGGCATCTCTCGCAAGAGATACATCTCCCGCAGGGAGATATATATCCCAACCATCCCAACCAATCAAAACCGCAAATATCACGTGACATGATCCTGAAGTACTAGACATATTTGTACTACTCGGACCTTTATTTTACCGATCAACTTTGGACAAAAAAAAACCAAAAAATACTTCGTCCTAGTATCGTGCTATGTATTTAATTTTTTCACGCTCCGCACGGCTAATTTATTTTAATTTATCATATTTATATCATACAGTATTTAATTAAACATCATTGTGTAATGATTATAAATTTTATTAAAAAAAAGAAAAAAAAAAAACACACAACATCAACAAAATCCAAAATCAAGAATATCGTTATATTGACAATAATATTAACAACGGCGACTTCACTAATACTTGTTGCTGATTTCACGTCACAAAGTATGCAACGAATATCAACAAACCCAAAAAACCAACAAATATCATCACACCAATGATAACATCAACAACGGTGACTTTACCAAAACCTGGTGCTGATTCCACGTCACAAAGAACCTAAAAAACCTAAACAAGCCAAAGAAGAGAAAAAACATTTAGCGAATACAGGAATATAACAAAGAAAGAAAAAAAAAAAAACAAAAGAAAACTACTCACCAAGAGCGCTGATTCCAGCTCGACAAAATCTAAACAAGCCAAAGAAGAAAAAAGAATAGTTAGTAAATATTCAAAAAAAAATAAAGAAAAAAAGAAAAACTAACTACTCACCAAGAGCTATGTCCGTGCAATTCCCAGATCCAACGAAGACAAGACAAGCCCTGTATGAAGAAAAAACGTCTAAAAAATTGAAAAAAGATTAATAAAGAACTAAAAACATCAAAACCAAATCCACAGTGAAAAAACGCACATAACCACTTATAAGAATGCCAGAAAAGAATGCAAAGCCATTCCACAAAAACGCCGAAGAAACACGTAAGTTCACAAGAACGCCGGAGAAATCCCACAAAAAAGTTGGAATGCACGCAAGACTACCCCACAGGAACATTCTGCAAGACCACCCCACAAGTCATCAGCGACGCAAAATCAATTCACGAAATCTAATGGTAGCATCAAACCAACGATGACAACAACACCAGCAATGACAATGACACCAACAACGACACCAGCGACGACAAGACACCAGCGACTACAAGGCACCAGCGATGACAAGACACCAATGACACCAACGGCGAAAAGTGGCAAGCTAAAAAAAAAAATAAATAACAAGCGAAAAAAAATTAATAACAAGCGAAAAAAAAACAAAATACAGTAATAAAAAAAAAACAATGATTATCAATCTTTGATAATCATTGTTTATATAGAGGGGTGCGAGATGAACTGAACCGACCCTGATTCAGCATCGGTATGCCAGGTGGGAGATGTATCTCTTGTGAGAGATATATCTCCTGCAAAAGATGCCTATAATTTCCCAAATAAAAATACTAAATTATTCAAAATTTTACTAATAAATAGTATTTTGATGCTTTAAGTCAACTTGTTCAGTATATAAAAATATATTAGGATGATATATAATTATTTATATTTATATTTATAAATTAGATTAAATAATAATCTTAAATTTATGTTTTTAATAAAATTATACTATTTTAATAAATTTTACTAAATTAGTTTTATAAATA